CTGCGCTGGGACATTTATTTAGTTTTATGAATAGTTCATGAATCGGTCACTTTAACAGCCTACAAGCTCACTCTACTGTTTATTGCATTATATTTTGCACTACTGTTATGATCAACTCGTCCTGTTTATTCTTTATTCTGGTAATTCTGGTATTGTCATTTCCACTTAATCACCTCATCAGTACATAACTGTGACTCTATATAGAACCGGTATGCACACCTTCACTTTACTAAGTTTCTCAGGTTTATACTTTATATTGCACTATTGTTTACTCTGGCCTTGCACATCCATTATCTACCTCTCATCATGTTATTGTCTTCAGTCAGCGTCCCTTTGTCTCCTGTTAGTCACTATTGAGCACGTTGCATCAGAGGTCCTGCTGCTGTTCACTTTTATATTTTTTTATATTTTTTTATATAACTAGTTGTGTTAGTTTATTTTTGCTAATGTTGTTGTTTGCTGCAATTTGAGTAGGAGTGTAACGCAATTTCAATTTCTATGTATGTCCTGTACATATGCAGAATTGACAATAAAAATCAATCAATCAATCAATCAATCAATCAAGAAGCTTTTAAATAATACAGGTGGCTCCAGACTTTGGCAGTCTTACTGAGATGGCTGCTAATAAGTTTCAGTGTTTTTCCACTGCCAGTTGTAGTGTTTGCCAGTAAAATATCACAGATGCTAAGTAGCTATCCAGCATCATCCTGACACTGCTGCGATTTATGATTTAAAAGATCTTAAAGAAGGGATTTAATCAACACAATCTGCTGCTTCATTAGATAGATAACTGGCTTTTTTATATAAGAATGTTTCTGTTCAGTGCCCTGAGATGACTTCTGTTGGGACTTGGAGATATATAAATAAAGTGAATTGAATTGAATTAATTTCTGTAAAATGCCCAACAGTTATTTTCATAGTTGGAAAGTTACTATTTATTACTGGTACTATTTATTTTAAATCCAAATAATGAACTCAAGTCATATCAGTTCTCACCTTGGTCATATTTTATTTAACTTGAAACCCTGTTTCCTTTTGAAAATAACTTTTTAAACAACACCAAGCCCAATAAGTCACAAACTTGTTTTTCAATGTAAACATTTTACAATCCGATCTGACAATTCTTTGTCGAAACACGGTAACAAGCCCCAGTTTTTCCTTGACCAGGAAGTTATAAATGATGTAGGCTGGCTGGTCTTAGGGCGACCAACCCTCTCTGCCTGATCTGTGACAAACCGTTATATATTTTTTATTCTGCTTATCCTCGTCACTTTCATGAATTAATAAACTGCCATGGCAGCTGTGTTTTAAGAGCTGATGGTAAGGAAATATTGTTTAATTTAGGGCTGCAACAAACGTGTATTTCAACAATCGATTATTCGGCCAATTATTATTTTTGATTAATCGATGTATTGGCAAAAAAACAAACAAATGTTTAAATTTCCACCCCTTTATTCCAAAATTGAACATTTGACTGACATAGCAATTCGCACAAAAAACAGGTTGCTATTTGACTATTCTGTTAGTAAAATATTGAATAATAAAAAATAAAAGTTCGTCAAATAGCTTAAAAAAATAAATGTACACAAAAATATATACAAATGTATACTTTATACCTGCACAATATGTAGCTACTTTGTAAAATGTGTCCTTGAGGGAAGAGTGTAACCTGGATTAAAAGTGTGGATCATTGTAGTGAAGCCTATCTAAAAAAGTTTAGTCTGGTCCTCTGGACATTCAAAAAAACAAAACAAAAAAAAAGTAGAAATGTTTCATCTTTCATCCGAAAGACTTCTTCAGTCTGAAGAAGTCTTTCGGATGAAAGATGAAACATTTCTACTTTTTATTGTTTTGTTTTTTTGAATGTCCAGAGGACCAGACTCTGTTTATATTATATACCTATATATACTGCTCCGTTTATATTCTGTCCATTTCACAATAAGAGCACATTCTGATGTAAAATATATACATTTGTGTCCGCCACACAGGCCCCCCCTGAACACACAGAATTTCACAAACACCAAAAACACAAATTGTGAAACCCATTACAGGTGTAAAACACACACCAAATAAATAAAAAAATTAATGAAATACCCAACGGCAATGGCTAGTGAGTTTAATAAGGTGGCCACCACGGCTGCTCTTCACAGCGACAAGGGTTGAAAGTGAAAAAGACTCTCTGGACCGACTTCCACTTAACTGTTCACAGAACCATTTAAGGATGTTTCAGTGAAGATAGCTGCTTGTTGTGGTGTCCATGATGTCTGTCCATCATGAAGGCTGTCATTGTTTGTTGTTGTTTTCTGGAATGAGACAATAAATATGTATTATAGCATAATTTACAGCAACTCAAGAAATGCCTTGTTTCACTTTCAGTGTTAGGTTCAGGCAAAAGTAGCTAAAAGAACAATTAAACACACACACACACACACACACGCACGCACGCACGCACACACACACACACACATATATAAAATACTTAATTACACACATTTGAGTAAATGTAATAAATTACTTTAATTCCTGTTTAAATGCAATTCCTCCTGCCATACCTGCAGTGTCTTCAGACTTTGCCAGCAAATTAAAACTTGAAGCTTAATCATTAAATTATTATCTTTGTGTTAGATTTATTTATAAATCACATTTAAACACTGCTTGTATCAATTAAATTAAATAAAAAGTAACACACGTTCTCTATCACCGCCATTAATCAGCAAACAAACAAATAAACAAACAGCTTCATCTACAGAGAGACTGACGTTACGTTTTCTCACTTGGAAACAGAACAATGTGTTAAATTGTAGAGACTCACCTGCAACACATGACGAGTTGTATCTGCTGCAGCTCCTTCATCCTCCTCGTGACTCCGACATGTTTACGTTTATCAGCATGGTTTTCCCCGTGTTGTCACTTTTCAAAGCTGCATGTTGCGCAGTTTTTTATTTTGTGAAGAGCTCCCACACTTTGGAGGACTTGGGTTGAACAGCTTTCTCTGCGTCAGTCATTTGTCAAATGTATTTAATTTCCTTTGAAAAGAGCCTCTGCTCTACTTCCGCCTCCCCCCTCGCTCTGTTCAACTCACGCTGCAGATTTTTTTTTTAAACTTTATTCAGTCAGCCGGCATTGATAATACACTTCAGCTGAACAAAATGGTTCAGCAGCGCCATGAAAGACGCATAATCGCGCGACACAAAGAATTGATAATGAAATTCGTTGCCAACACTTTTAATCATCAATTTTTATCGATTTTATTGATTCGTTGTTGCAGCTCTAGTTTAATTCATTACACAAAAAATACGACAATATAAATAGAAAGCATTACAAATGCAGCTTCATTCTTGTCACAGAGAATTACTTGATTTTAAAAGTAGTATGTGCACATCTGGTAATGTTGTGACATTACAAACATAACTCACTGAGATGCTGGATGATGTGGTCAATGGTGGGTTTGAAGAGGGTATTCATGGCATCTGGACTCATCCTCAACATCCCCTGAGACGACCATTTAACAAAGTCCACACTAGAGAAAAGAAGAAATTAAATCTGTAACATGGTAAATGGACTGTACTTATACAGCATCTTTCTATCTTATCAAGACACTCAAAGCTCTTTACAACACAATCTGTGTCTCATGTACCCATTCATACAGCGCTCTAATATATCTACACAAAGCTAATCTGAATTTGTAGAGACTAATCAGAGCTTTATCACGTTCATACACTGATGGGACACACATCAGAGGCAATGAGGGGTTCAGTGTCTTGCCCAGGGACACTTCAACATGTGACTGTGTGTCCATCCCATGAGTCAACGGATTGTAGCAGCAATAACTCTCAGTACTGCGGCAGCATGGTGATGATGTTTATCGAGTGGTTGCCTTTCAGTGAGAAGGTTGCTGGAAAAAATCTCAGCTTAGAACCTCTTTGATTTGTATGTTCTCTCCATGCATGCGTGGGTATTCTTGGGTTTCCTCCCACAGACCAAAAACATGTGTTAGGTAACTGATAACCCTAAATTGTCCCTAGGTGTAGATGGTTATTTGTCTCTTTGTGGCCCTGTGATGGACATGCAAACTGTCCAAGGTGTTCCCCGTCTCTCACACAGAGACTGCTGAATATGGGCACAAATCTTACTTCTAACCTACAAAGCTCTCAACAACCTAGCTCCATCTTATATTACAGATTTATTGTTCCATATTTTCCTAACAGAGCACTTTGCTCTCAGACTGCAGGTTTACTTGTGGTTCCTAGACTTTCCAAAAGCAGAAAGGGAGAAAGATCTTTCAGTTATCAGGTTCCTCTCTTGTGGAACCAACTTCCAGTTTCTGTCTGTGAGGCTGACACATTGTCCAGTTTTAAAACTGGGCTTAAGACTTTCCTGTTTGATAAATTCTATAATTAGGGTTGGCTTGGGTTTCCTGAGCTATCCCTTAGTTATGATGCTATAGGCTTAGACTGCTGGAGGAGAAACTGACCACATTTCCTTGACTGAATTGTTAAATTAAATAGTTTTCCTTTGATAGTAATTCTATCTTAACATGTGATTCTTGATCTGCCATTGTGTATCTGTTCCTATCAAACCCACCCAGTCGAAGCAGATGACCACTTGTCCTGAGCCTGGTTCTGCTAAAGGTTTCTTCCTCATGTGGGAGTTTTTCCTTTCCACTGTCGCCTTCATGCCAGCTCAAGATGAGATTTCTGTGATGGGAGAACAAGGATGGAACAAGGAACAGTGATTTCGGCCCTCAGCCCTTCCAACTTCTGGCCTGTCTCCAGACTCCAATTTGTTTCTAAAATAGTGGAGAAAACAGTTGAGTCCCAGTTGAAGTGCTTCCTGGAAGGTCACACCATCTTAGAGCTATTCCAATTTGGCTTTAAACCTCTCCACAGCACTGAAACTGCCCTATTGAAGGTTTTTAATGACATCTTCAGATCCACAGATACTGGTGATTCTGTGCTGCTTGTCCTATTGGACCTCACAGCCGCCTTTAACACCATCGACCATGAGATCCTCATTGCTAGGTTGGAGCAGTGGGTGGGCATCACAGGGTCAGCCCTCAATTGGCTCAGATCCTACCTCACTGACAGATCCTTTTGTGTCTCCATCAAGAATTTTAGCTCTGCAGTGACAGAGCTTAAATGGGGGGTTCCGCAGGGGTCCATCATGGGTCCCCTCCTATTCTTTCTATGCCTGCTGCCACTTGGTGTTATTTTCCGGAAATACAACATACCCTTTCACTTCTACGCCGACGACTGTCAAATTTACTTCCCCCTAAGACACAATGGTACATGCTCTATTCAACCTCTGCTCGACTGCCTGGCTGACATCAGGGACTGGATGGCTTTAAACTTCTTAAGTTTCAACGAAAAGAAGTCTGAAGTCATGTTGTTCCCTCCCAATGATATGATCACAAACCACTGCATTGACCTTTCCACTCTAACCCTGTCAGAAAAACAAAGAGTCACTAATCTGGGTGTGGTAATGGACACTTCCCTGAAACTTAACAATCACGTAAACATGATTGTTAAATCATGCTTCTTCCAACTGAGGCAGCTGTCTAAACTGAAGCCCATATTGTCCAAAAATAACCTGGAGACAGTAATACATGCATTCATTACATCTAGGCTTGATTACTGCAATTCACTCCTGTTTGATATCAGTCAGACCTCCACTGCACGACTACAACTGGTCCAGAATGAAGCAGCCCCAATTTTTAACCAGTACAGGCAAAAGAGAGCACATTACACCAGTTTTGGCCTCACTGCACTGGCTACCGGTTCACCTTCGAATCCAGTTCAAATTACTCCTTTATGTCTACAAATTGCTGAACAGTTTCCCCCCATCTCTCTGATCTGCTGCAACCTTATGTCCCACCACGTTCCCTGAGGTCAGCAGACCAATTGCTCCTCACAGTTCCAGGAACTCGTCTTAAGCGCAGAGGTGACAGGGCCTTCTCTGTAGCAGGACCAAGATTTTGGAACGAGTTACCTCTGCTTGTCAGACAGGCCCCCTCCCTCTCGGTTTTCAAATCCCGTTTAAAAACTCACTACTATTCAGTAGCTTTCAACACCAGATGATCTGTGTTTTGAGCCTGTACGCTCCACACTGGTTTGTCGTCATATTTATTATTTGCATAGTTTTTATGTCTATATTTTTTATTTACTTCATTTTGTATATTGCTTCGTGTGTTGTCTGTTGTTCTGTCTGTACAGCACTTTGGTTGGCCTTGTAGCTGTTTTAAGTGCTCTATAAATAAAATGGTATGGTATGGTATGGTATGGGAGTAAAATTCAAAGCAGTCTGCTCCTCAGATAAATAATGTTAACTTACCTTTTATGTATCGGTATATGAATGTTTCTGTTCAGTGCCCTGAGATGACTTCTGTTGTGACTTGATGCTGTATATAAATAAACTGAATTGAACTAAATATCATTTTAGAAGAATTTTGGCCATCTTATTTTTTTACAACAATGCTTTATTTCATAAAGTCTGCAGTTGTTTTATTTTTCTGCACAGCTATCTTAAGGTCCCACTACTTAATTTCAATCAAGTTGAGGTCTGGACTTTGACTTGACTGGTCCAGCACCTTGCATTTTTATTTTTTTACTTGCTGTGTCTGAGATCATGATCCAGTTTGGTCCAAGTTTCAGCTTTAAGACAGAAGGCCTCAAGTTGGACTCTAGAATACTTTGTTCCACAGAGAAGTTCACGGTCAACTCAGTGACGACAAGTTGTCCAGTTCCTGTGACTGCAAAACAAGTAAAACACCTCTAAGTGGTTCGGGCAACCACCAAGCCAGAGAAATCATGAAGACTAAGGAACTCTTATAGTCATCCTCCCTCCACCCCTATGCTTGACAGCTGGAATGATTTTCTCTACACATGATGTTGTCCAGTATGAGTAAACATCTCAACATCAAAAACATCTGTCCAGGACATTGTTCCAGATGTCTTGTGTTCAGAAGCAACTTTGCAAATGTAAGTCATGCTAAAGACTAAATACTAAAGCTGATAAATGACAACTGTATGATCCATTCAGTTGTCCAAGAGATGATTTGATAGAGATAAATGCACAAATTCAGACAAAAAACATTGTTGCCTGCCTTTTATAGGAAAGTAAAACTGTATTACTGTTCATGATTTATTTGCTTTTTATTCATTTTTTTATGATGGTGTGTGATTAAAAAAAGTGATCGCCTATTTAATTCTACCATGTTTCCCTCCTTTTTTAATACTTATCTACTGATAGAAGCACATCTATGAGATGAAAAGCTAATTACAAGGATGTTACCTTTTAGACTCTGTTAAATTAAGGAGTGCGTATAAAAGATGTGCTGCTACCATTTTTTCTACACATGAATATTTATAGCTATGAGTAATAAGACTGTTTATTCATTTTATCAATACTGTTTTAACTACCATTATGTTACGATGTTCTTTTCATTATCAGCAGTGATGTGAATAACTCATCAAGTAAATCTCAAAGGATTTTTTTATTGAAAAAATGGATTTTAAAATGAAAATAAGAAACATTCAGATGTATTTTACAGTGCTTTAATTGATCATTTTAGATTCCTGATTAGCACAAGGATCTGATTCCAAAAAGAAAACACCCCACTATGATTAAAAAATACATTATATATTTGTTTACTTATACTATTACTTTTAGTATTAATTCATTTACTCACATTTGGCCGACACATCCTTCTATACAGACATTTTATTGAAATAAATGTCTGTATAGAAGTGTCAACCAAATGTGAGTTCTATTTCATTCCTCCTGACCGCCAGAGGGCAGTGCTGAAAGCACTGAATGTTCCCTTTGCACATGCGCTGTTTGAGTAGTAATACCAACGAAGTCACAAGTGTGACACGGATGACCAATCAGAGGCTAAATAGCCAGGCGTCATCCGTGGCACTGTTCCTTTTTTCTTCTCGCGTGCAGTTCAATCCAGGGCTTCAGCCTTTGGATCTTTTAACCGTCGTCGGAGGCCCGATTCCCCGTTGGCCCGACTGCCCGTTGGCCCGACTGCCCGTTGGCCTGACTGCCCGTTGGCCCGACTGCCCGTTGGCCCGACTGCCCGTTGGCCCGACTGCCCGTTGGCCGGAGCAGCGGGTTCGCCCTCCTAGGGGCCACAACGGTTTAGCCTTCGTTCAAGGTATTTCTGCTGTTCGTTGGGGATTACGGCGGCTTTCGCCCCTTTCCCAACTTACAGCAGCTGACTACTGTGTGTGTGTGTGTGAGATTCAACACTGGTGAGTAGTCTTTTTCTTCTATTTTGCCTTAGTTAGCGGCTCCGTCCCCTCTGTTGGAGGTGACTACTGTGTGTGAGATTCAACACTGTTAAGTAGTCTTACTTCTATTCTGCCTTGGTTAGCGGTTCCGTCCGCTCTCTTGGAGGGTTCCAACCGCGAGGTCGGTTTGGATTGTGCTCCGAAGTTAATTACGTAGCCAGCTGTGTTCTGGTCTTGTTTTCTAATTTGTAAAGGCGAGCGTTCGCGCACCCTCTCAATCATTTTTCACCAACCTCATAAACGGTTGGACTGAGCTAGCAGTGCTAACCTCTCTGAGCTTTGGCCTTGCTTTCTATTGGTGAAGTCTAGCAGTGTGCACCCTCTCCCAATCATTTTCACCAACCTCATAAACGGTTGGACAGAGCTAGCCGTGCTAGCCTCTGTGAGTTTTGGCCTTGTTTTCTATTGGTGAAGGCTAGCGTTGCACAATCTCTCCCAATCATTTTCACCAACCTTATAAACGGTTGGACTGAGCTAGAGGTGCTGGCCTCTCTACATTCTGGCCTTGTTTCATTGGTGAAAGCAAGCGTTGGTGCCCCCTCTCCCAATCTTTTTTTTACCAACCTCATCCACAGTTGGACCAAGCTAGCGGTGCTAGCCTCCCTACGTTCTGGCCTTGTTTTCTACTGGTGAAGGCTAGCGTTACCCTCTCCCAATCATTTTCACCAACCTCATGAATGGTTGGACTAAGCTAGAGGTGCTGGCCTCTCTGAGTTCTGGCCTTATTTTAATTGGTGAAGGCAAGCATTTGCGCCCCCTCTCCCAATTATCCTCTTTTACCATCTGAGCTAGCGACGCTAGCCTGTTCGAGTCTCTCTGCTTTAATTGGTGATGGCAAACGTGCGCGCCCACTCTCCCAATTCTCGGCCTAACCTTTTGTCCTTGTTCTCGTCCTGTATTCTGGACGTAGCTGGCGGTGTCAGCTCCTTTGCTGAGTTGCGGTTTTTACTTGAGTAAACTGCCTAAAGTAAGGAGCATGAACGGCTCTCACTGCTACACAGATTGTGAGGCTGTGCTCCAGGCAGATGACGGTCACGACCTGTGTCCTGTCTGCCTTGGACATGACCATCTGGTGAAGGCCCTGTCAGAGAACCCCTGCATGAACTGCAGCTTCATGCCTCGTGCTGTGAGGGTGGCTCGGCTGGCCCAGTTTCGCTCCGAGCTCGGCAGTGACTTCCCACTTTCTGGGTAGGAGGCTCCACCTAGGCGCCCAAAGTGCCGGACTGAGGCCACAGTCTCTGTGGCCCCTCCAAGAAAGGGGCGAGCCAAGTCTGATCAGGGTCTATCCATGAGGGTGGAGCAGCTGTCCGCAAAATTGGCAGAGATGAAGTCCCTTTTTCAGGCATGCCAACTGGGGGCTGAGCCAGTGGCATGGACCGGACTCTCCTCGCCACCCCTGCCTGAGTTAGCTGCGGAGGAAAAAGTGTTATCCTTGGCTGCCTCTGCCTCTCACCTTTTAGGTGAGGAGGAGGAACAGTCATCTCAAGTCTCAGAGACTGGTTCATTTTCTTCGTCTCGGAGCACAGCAAGTGGGTCAGGTGACGGCTCAATGCAAGACGTCATGCGTATGGCCCTGAGACAATTGCAGATGGGCGTCCCGTAACCAGAGGAGTCCACCCCTGGAAGTGCCTTCTTCAGGCGCAGACAGGCCCCTCCTTCCTTTTCTGTCCCTCTATCGGAGGAGTACCTGAGAGAGTTGCATGGTTGCTGGCAGGACCCAAAGGTCTTTGCGCACCTCTCCGCGGATGGCGGAGTGTTGGCGGCTATGCATAAGCCAGCTGTAGTGGGCTTGGAATGCATGCCGGTGATCGAACCTGCTGTTGCCTCACTCATCATGTCACCAGAGGAAGTTCTGCACAGTGATGTTTGGTGCCTGTCCAGGCACAACAGATAAGGCAGCAGTTTTCAGGCCTTAGCAAGGTGATGCCCCCTCCATATCCTTGGCATCCAAGGTGCCTGTCAGCTGATCTCAGCATTTGGCCGCTGACTCGAGGTCATGATCGTCAGAGTGTTTTTTTTTACCCTTGTGCGGTTCAGCAGAGACCCGACAGGAGCTTTCGTGAGTTGGTCCACCAACCAGCTGGGCAGGTTTGGACCAGGGACTCTGGCCACCACCCACCCCCACCCCACTGCCTCCAGGAGCCGTGGAGGGCGACGCTGATGTCACCGGGCCGACCGTCGAATATTTCTCCCACCAGCAGTTCTGTTACTGGGCAGCTCACACCGTGGACCCATGGGTGGTTGCCACTCTGACCCATGGTTACCGACTACAGTCCTGACGGTGACCTCACATCTCACGCTGGGTCAACATGACTATATTTGCCGACCCGGTGAAAGCTCGAGCACTAGACCAGGAGTTTTCGCCCCCCTGGCTAAGGGTGCAATAGAGACAGTGAACCTTCTGCAACAACCCAGAAGCCATTACTCGACTTACTTCCTCATTCAAAAAGGACAGCGGGTTTCATCCCATTTTAGATCTGAGGAGACTCAACCAGTACCTAAGGGTGCTGCCCTCCCACATGCTCATGACAGCAGAGGTCGTTTAAGTTGTCATGATGGGAGAATGGTTCACGTCTATAGACCTGAAAGATGCTTATTCTCATGTGCCTATTGCGGCAGAACATCACCGCTTTCTCAGGTTTGCCTATCGGGGTCATCACTGGCAGTTCCGGGTACTCTCATTTGGGCTCTCTCTTTCCCCAAGGGTGTTCACTCGGTGAGTGAAGGCAGCCCTCTCTCCTCTGCAGGCCTAAGGAGTGAAGGTTTTGCTGTACTAAACACAAATCGCCTGCTTGCTCATGTGTCTCAGTTGGGCCTTAATGTCTACCTGGAGAAGAGCTGCCTGATCCTTTCCCAGATGATCTCCTTTCTTGGGTGGTTCTGGATTCACCCTCCATGAGAGCTCGCCCATCCGCTCAAAGGGTGGGCGGCATACTCCAGTTGGTCAGTCAGTTCAGGCTGGGCAGGCAGCTCCTCTACGTTGCCTTCCAGCAGCTACTAGGCAAACTGACATCAGTCACTCGGGTGGTGCCCTTAGGCTTGCTGTCACTTCGCCCCTTGCAGAGGTGGCTCAACAGCTTTTGCCTGGATGCCAGGCTGCACAGGCATCACAAGCTCGCAGTGACGTGGTCATGTCTTCATGCCCTGACTCCATGGAGGGCCAAAGATTATTTGTCCAGGGGTGTCCCCATGGGAGTGGTAGTGTATCGCAGGGAAGCGGTCATGACAGATGCCAGCTCCATGGGATGGGGCGCTGTGTGACAACGCAGAGCGGTTCAGGGCTTCTGGGGTCAAAGGACCAATGGCCAAGAAAAAGCCATTGCTTAAAGAAAAATATAAGATGTACTGTCTGAAATTTATTCCCTCAACATGTGGAAGAAAGTGCAAGAAAGTGCTGTGGGCTGATAGGGCTAAGAACTTTTGAGCCTTAAAGGATGAGACCATGTCTGGTGCAAACCTACCACCTCTCATCATGCTAACACCATCTCTACAGTGATGCATGGTGGTGGCAGCAACATGGAAAATGGTAAATGGACTGTACTTATATAGCACCTTTTTATCTTATCAAGATGCTCAAAGCTCTTTACAACAATTTGCATCCTCATTTACCCATTCATACAGCACTCTACTAGATCTCTACAAAGAATAATCAGTGCTTTATCAAATTCACACACCGACGGGACACACATCGGAGGCAATCAGGGGTTCAGTGTCTTGCCCAGGGACACTTCGGCATGTGACTGCTGGTGGAATCGAACCCTCAATTCTTGCATTGGAGGACAACTGTTCTAACCATTCAGCCACAGCCATGATGTGTGGGACCCTAATAAATAGGTTCAGTGAGAGGTTTTATGTTTTGGCCAAGAACACGTCACATGTTTGGCCAGATGTTTCATTTCAAAAACAACCACAGTACAGTTAAGACACGGCTGCCTCTACAATGTCATGAGATCAACTTATTTTTTGCAGTTTGCCCCAGTCTTGTCTCTAGAGACCAACATGTGCATGTCTGTATACTTGACACTGCCTGTGTTGAATTATAGATCCTGGAATAATCCATAGTGTCCAAATGCAGTGGTCCCATATGCACAACACAACAAGATGTGTGATAGTTCTAATATTTCAGCTCAGGGTTTCCACCCTTTGCTTTCTGCTTTTACTCACTTGCTCTTGCGTAGGGCGTGCTCCACACTGTGGCCCCGGAACTTCTTGTAGTAGTCAATGAAGGAGAAAGGCAGGTTGATATTGAGGGGGTTAGTTCTATCTGGAGCTGCTGCTCTCTTTCGAGACTCAAATGCAATCATCAAGTCCACCCAGGCAGCCGGCCTCTTTACTTTAAACTGGTCAATAAAATCCTGGCCAAAGATCTTACACAGCAACTTCTCAAACTCATAATCAACCCCAATAGAGCCATAAGGTCCACCTGAGAAATGAAGTAATTGCAAAAGGGATTTGAATCATAAAATAAGAACTTTTAGCATCAAAACTACATTATTTCACAGCGTTTATTACCTGAAGCTTTGTACAACTCTTTTAGGTGTCCCTCTGGAAGCCGGATCTGATGCACAGTCAGGTCAACTGTTCCTCCACCACAGTCCATTACCACGTAACGATCACCTGTCAGGAAAACAGGTAAATGTAAAACACAGTGAGCAGCAAATACTTACAGGCACATGTAAATGGATGTTATCAAACAAAAATCCTTCTGCCATAACACTCAGTCACTGCCTGATGTCTAACATCATGAATGTAATTTTACAGGCAGTCCTGGAGACCTTTGAGGGCTGGTGGTAGCTGGCAGTTTGGACCCTATTTTTTTTCTCTCCCAGATTCTAATTGGGTATTTTCACACTTCATATTTTACTTTTTATTTCTCTATTTTGTATTGTTAATTTCTATTTATTGTTTTATGAGCGTATGCAATGTGGAACTGCTGCCTTGAATTTCCCCCTGGAAGTCAGTGACTGTGTACTGTCTGTCTGATTGACACAGTAAAAACTATTAAAGATTATTCTAATTTGCAACTATTTGAATTTCATACCTTTTAGCTGAAATAAGAATTTATTTCAAAATTAAGATAGTGTAAAGATATATAACATATATTCTAAATTACCCAGCAAGTCCTGCCTAAATACAAGTTTTCTTGAGCAAATGTAATTTCGTAGTAACACTTTACATTAAATACTTCAATAATAATATTAATCTCTGAAGCTATGAGACAAACAGGAAAAAAACACACGAGTGCATCCAGTTTGGATAAAATCACTGATTTTCCAACTGAACTTTTCAGTTTTTGTCACAGATCTGCTGATTTTCTTCACTCAAGAACTCTTTCATGTTTGTTTCTCTCCATGTTTTAACTTCTCTTTGCAGAACTAGAAAAAACAACATAAAGGGATTACCATAAAGACAAAGCTGTGCATCACTGAAAATATGCACAAGTAAAATAAATTTTTTTTAACTAAATTTAACAAAGTTCATTCAGACCTTATTGATGAGCTCATAATGGCCTCTTCCAGTGAACCCACTTCCAAAGCTGACTGGTGCCATCGTATAACTCCACTCTTCAAAAATTTTCATGAGAATGCTATTTTTCAAACATTTGCTCTGCCATCACGTTTATATTACACATTTATTTAGACAGAATTATTAAAACAATCCTGCTGTCCATGACATTTGTGGAAAATAAGATCAACTAATAAGTCATCTGAGATATCTTCATTAAATGTAATGGTTTAGGCATGAACAGTTATCTTTTCACAGTTTGATGCCAGGTCATAAGTGACCTATTGTATGTCGGCAAAATGAATACGTGCTGCAATACAAAAAAGTAAATGGACCGTACTTATATAGTGCCTTTCTACCTTATTTCAAGATACTCAAAGCGCTTTACACTACAATCTGTGTCCTCATTCACCCATTCATACAGCACTCTACTTGATCTCTACAAAGCTAATTGAACAAATCATTCTAAAGAGACTAATCAGAGTTTTATCACATTCAAACACTGATGGGACACACATCGGAGGCTATGAGGGGTTCAGTGTCTTTCCCAGGGACACTTCGGCATGTGACTGCTGGTGGATTTGAACCCCCAACTCTCGCATTGGAGGACGACTGCTCTAACCACTCAGCCACAGCCGCCCCTGTGAAAAAGTGAAAATATAAATTTATGCAGTAACAGATTTTCGTAAAAACAAGTCCATAAAAACATCTAGCAATTCCTTTAACTAAAATAGCTCCTGATCTTCCTAATCTACACTTAAACTGAAGTTGTCTAACAGGTACATCTTCTAAAGGCGAGCAGTGGAACAGAGGTTAGAGAAGGCGAGCCTTTGATTGGGAGGTCACTGGTTCAAAACCCTTGACCACATCAAAAATGTGGATGGGAAAGCTGAAGTAGCAACACCTGCCTCCACTCTCCTTTACCCCACTCTGGGCCCTTGAGCAAGAGCCCTTTTTTAAATCTACAGGTACTATCTAGGCTGCTGTAGTGAAAGGAAATCCCTTCATATAATGTTTGACATCATTGCGAAGCTTGGGAATTACTTGGTTAAAAGAAATGGCTGGAATTTCTGATGACATCACTCCAGACCAATAAAACCAGTTTTCAAACCAATCACATAAAAAAATCTTGCTGCTAGGCCATGAAATAAATAGCCAAATTTCAATAAAATTTCTAACATTTTTTAACTTTTGAGATGGAGAATTTAAAAACAATAACTCAATATGGAAAAATTCTTTAATTGCCAGTACAGTTCACATAACCATAGTTCTGATCAAACTGGTGGCGTTGCTCTTTCTTATTGATAAGCTTGTTTAAAGACATTCTCCTAAAATCTTGGGTTAAACAGATTCTGCCTCTTAAAGTCATCTCATCTCTGGGATGCTCTGCTTGACATTTGTTTGTAATAAATACATTTTTTTAGGTCTTCTGGTCTCTCATATCTTTTTGCCATGACTTTGACCCTGGATGCCCTGGAAGGCTTAGAGTTGCTATTACCGGTGTTATTTAGTCCCGTAAACAACTACAGAATTCTTTGTAATAAATAAAGTATAAATAGAGTTGGCATGATCAACTATAACATTTAGGAGATCAAAGTTGTTTGAAAATAGCAGCAATCCACTTTCTTGTGGCCGACTTCAGGCATTCAAAAAGCTAATTACACACAATTGTAGCTTTTAGGCTAAAAAGACAGGTTCAGTATGGTTGAAATAATTTATCTTTTTTTTTCTTCAATACTGAGTAAACTTTTTTTTTCTAATTGATGTAAATATTACAATCAGTTGTATGAATCCTAAATGTTTCTTTTACGAACAAAGAAGACAACGTTTTACTGGGAAATGAAAAAAGGTCATTGTGATTGTTTTATTCTCTTTGCCATTTATTTCTCTGCTACAGAAATCAGTTGAATGAACATCCTTCAAGAATCATTATTTAATGGGTTATGAATGGGAAACTGCTTCTCAATCTGAGTAGCACATTTGCAACTACAGTCATTGAAGGCCAATGTAATACAGAAAAAACAAAGTTTAGATGGAACTGTTATGTGGGAGCAGTAGAATTGAGACGTTTTTGAAACCAAGGCCTTCAGTTTCCAAAATTGCTTAAAAGAAATTTGATGAAATCCCATCTATTAGATGTCTCTTTGCTCTATTTGTTTTTTTGTTTTTTGGTATAGGTATTGAAAACCACAACCTTTATTTAAGCTTCTACAATACTATTGTAGTGTTTAATATCAATTTAATTTTTAACTACTGAACAGAAGTAAATCTGATTTTGCAATTACTCACTCCAGTGACTCAAACTACGATGAATGAGTTGTTTTATGTCACTATTTATGCCCTTAATGTAAATAATGTCACACTACTTCTGTGTTTATTGCACTCCTGTTCAACTGTATTTTGGATTTTATTTTGCATATCTGTGCAATTTCTTGAAACAAATGATGACATGAGTTTGAGTTTCGTTGATTTGAAGTCAGAGTATTGTTTTAGTAGAGCAACAGCAGCTGTTTCAGACAAAGCAGAGACAACAGAAATTCAGTTGGAAATGGCTTAAAAAGACAGTTAGCAGAGGTGTACGTGCTAATGATGTTAGTAACAAGTAAGCATTTAAACTTTCTACAGAACAAATTACTGATTGAATCATCAAGCCTGGACATGAGCATTAGAACTTAATCTATCACTAAATACACATGCAGAGGTAAGAAGTTCTTTAATAATTATTCATTCACATCAAAACAATTCTTTCACAAGAAGACAATAATATTTAACATGGTTGTTGCAGTTTGAGCCTGGTCTTTGTTTTTGGATCAGTTACAACACAGTAAACAGTTTATAAGTGAGCCAAAATATTAGCTGCTGAACAGGCTACAGTGCATTGAAGAACAGATAAAAGATATAATGCTAACTCCTATTTGAACAAAGAAAAACAAATCCTAACACTAAAACTGTTACCATTAAGTTTCATTTTAAAGACTTACAACACCACTTTGAGTAAAGAGGTGAGAGGTCAAGTGTACATAAAGCTGTAGTCAAAAGTTTACATTCACCTAAACGGCATGGAGATTATTTGGGGCCAGCCGAAACGATGTAAGAAGGAAGTTTTGTGGTCAGAGAAGTCAAAGATTGAGCTCTTAAGCCTGTGATTAGAAGTGTGTTCAAATGACTCAAAGTGAGCCTTCCAATTCTAAGAACACTGAACCAACTGTCCAGCATGGTGGAGGTAGCATCATGCTGTGGTACTTTGCACAAAGTGAATGGAATACTGAAGAGTAAGGACCACTTCCAAATTCTTCTAATTTACATCAAATCAGCAGCTAGAATGTTTAAACTTGAAAACAGTGTCCTGATGTATGATCAATAATCCAGGGAGAAAAATCTAACAAAGTTGAGTCAGGTCCTCTGGACAGATTCTTCTTTGTTGAAACATTTCACCTTTTATCCAAACCACTTCTCCAGTTGGAGGAGCTGCAACAAACTCAGTTTTATAAATAGCACCTTTTCATAGTGGATCAACCAGTTTGTTGTTGACCACCAAAACTAGCTGATCACATGATAAAGGAGGACCGTCAGTCTAACAGCTGGTCATTAGTGACCACCTGTTAGACCACCAGCCTCAGTGGTTAGCACTGTTGTCTCACAGCAAGAAGGTCCTCGGGTAAATCTCCAGTTAGACCTGAGGTCTTTCTGTGTGGAGTTTGCATATTCTTCTCGTGCTTGGGTGGGTTTTCTACAGTTTCCTCCCACAGACCAAAAACATGCATGTTAGGCTGCCTTCAGGTCCAGGCCTCCCTTGCAAAAGAGATCTGTGATCTCAATGGGATTTGCCTGGTTAAATAAAGGTTAATAAATAGCACTCCGATGGCTGTTTACTATTCCCAGGGGGTTGAGTGATACTAGCAATCACAGCAGTGTAAGAGGGGGACAGTTGAACACGGAGGCCTCCACCCCTGTTTAATGAAGGACGATTTCTTTTCACAAAGATGGCCTCCTTTACTCCTCTCTCAAACCATCGTTCTTCTCCATCAAGGATGTGAACATCTTCATCCCTGAAAGAGTGACCGCTGGCCTGGAGATGAGTGTAGATCACAGAGTTCTGGCCTGATGATGTTGATCTTCTGTGCTGGTCCATCCTTTTGGCCAGTGGCTGTTTAGTTTCCCCGATGTAAGACTGATCACAGCCCTCCTGGCACTGAACAGCATACACAACATTACTCTGTTTGTGCCGGGGGACTGGATCTTTGGGATGAACCAGTCTTTGCTGTAATGTATTACTATATATATATATATATATATATATACA